ACGCCACGGGCAGATTCAAATTAGACCTCGCCATCCCTGGGGGGCTGCGATCTGTGAAACTGTCGCCACTTTCGAGGCCTGCTGGGGGGCCCAGCACAGTGACGCCACGGGCAGATTCAAATTAGACCTCGCCATCCCTGGGGGGCTGCGATCACTGTCGCCACTTTCGAGGCCTGCTGGGGGGCCCAGCACAGTGACGCCACGGGCAGATTCAAACTAGACCTCGCCATCCCTGGGGGGCTGCGATCTGTGAAACTGTCGCCACTTTCGAGGCCTGCTGGGGGGCCCAGCACAGTGACGCCACGGGCGGATTCAAATTAGACCTCGCCATCCCTGGGGGGCTGCGATCTGTGAAACTGTCGCCACTTTCGAGGCCTGCTGGGGGGCCCAGCACAGTGACGCCACGGCGGATTCAAATTAGACCTCGCCATCCCTGGGGGGCTGCGATCTGTGAAACTGTCGCCACTTTCGAGGCCTGCTGGGGGGCCCAGCACAGTGACGCCACGGGCAGACCCAAATTAGACCTCGCCATCCCTGGGGGGCTGCGATCTGTGAAACTGTCGCCACTTTCGAGGCCTGCTGGGGGGCCCAGCACCCAAGCACATGACCACGCAGACCCAAATTAAACCTCGCCATCCCTGGGGGGCTGCGATCTGTGAAACTGTCGCCACTTTCGAGGCCTGCTGGGGGGCCCAGCACAGTGACGCCACGGGCAGATTCAAATTAGACCTCGCCATCCCTGGGGGGCTGCGATCTGTGAAACTGTCGCCACTTTCGAGGCCTGCTGGGGGGCCCAGCACAGTGACGCCACGGGCAGATTCAAACTAGACCTCGCCATCCCTGGGGGGGCTGCGATCTGTGAAACTGTCGCCACTTTCGAGGCCTGCTGGGGGGCCCAGCACAGTGACGCCACGGGCAGACTCAAACTAGACCTCGCCATTTTTAGGGGGCAGCGATCTGTGAAACTGTCGCCACTTTCGAGGCCTGCTGGGGGGCCCAGCGCAGTGACGCCACGCGCGGACCCAAATTAGACCTCGCCATCCGTGGGGGGCTGCGATCTGTGATCCCCGCTTTCGAAGTGGCTAGGGTTGGTCAGGGATTGTAAATAATCAGCTTTATCTAGTCCTTGTCCTGTAGCCAATGTCCTGCGAGTCTCCCGAATTCCGTCTGCAGACATATGTAACCCTCGCTCCGTCATCGCCCCCCCATATAAAGTGTCCTAAACTATTTGCGCCCCGCGTTTGCGCAGGGGTTGGGTACGTCGCCAGGGTAAGTTGTGGTTGTTTTTTGTTTAAATCCTTGGAAGATTGGGTTCTCGTTTTGAATAGAGCACTGCGGTCGCGACTTCTCGTCCTCCTCCTCCTCCTCTTCCTCTGCCCTCCTCTTGCCTCCACCATTTTCCTGCCCTTTTGCGCGTTCCCTGCGTGGCTGCGAACTGCGCATCTGTGGCCAATTTCGTGGGCTCCTTGGAGGCACGGCGGAGTATCGGAGTACGCGGGCCCAGTCGAGACCGCGCAACTCTCTGGGTGGTTGCGAACTGCGCATCTGTCGCCACCTTCGTGGGCTGCTGGGAGGCACGGCGGAGTAGCGGAGTACGCGGATCCAGTCGAGACCTCGCAAGTCCTTGGGTGGCTGCGAACTGCGCATCTGTCGCCACCTTCGTGGGCTGCTGGGAGGCAAGGCGGAGTAGCGGAGTACGCGGACCCAGACGGGACCTCGCAGCTACCTGGGTGGCTGCGAATTGCGCAGCTGTCGCCACATTCGTGGGCTCATGGGGGGCCCGGTGAAGCAACGGAGTACGCGGACCCAGACGGGACCTCGCAGCTCCATCAATGGCTGCGAACTGCGCATCTGTCGCCACTTTCTTGGACTCCTGGGTGGCACGGCGGAGCCGCGGAGTACGCAGATCCAGTCGAGACCTCGCAGCGCCCAGGATGGCTGCGAACTGCGCAATTGTCACTGAGGACCTAGGAATATGAAAAGAGCTACGCCGCTGCGCCACATATGACAAGCACGCGAACGCGGCCGAGTTATGCGAGAGGCCACGTCACCAGCAGCAGGAGGAGCAGCAATATGAGGAGCACGGGCAGGCAAAATGAGGCGGATGGCGAAGAAGGGAAGCCGACGACAAGGAAATAACATGACCAAGATCTGTGACCCGCGCTGGTGCCAGTGCGCCATTCCGAACGACGGAAACAATGCACCGATCTTTGAATATGGTCAGCGCTGAAACGAAAACATTGTCTTGAAGTACCAGAGACATTCCGATCGAAAACAGAAAATATGTAGAGCAACGTTGACATCTTGTTCGTTGAAAGCAACATTCGCAGGATTGCATGAGCTCCACGGCACATTGGCAGGGGATGAAGTATATGAGTACTCACCATATGTGCATGCGAAAGAAGATCATGTCCTTTGCTGCTAGAAATAACCAGGCACTCCTTGCCACAGCCAGCCGCCAATGAATGATATGAGCGGGCGGGCACTCTAAAGAGGTGCCTCGCAACCGCTCGCAATTCCGCCCAGAAGCTTCTCCCAGCAGGCGTCACACTCCCACTGTAAGAGGGACCGGCGCGCCTCGCCAAGGGGAAGCTTCACGTTACAAGGGTGCCTGCATCGGCGCAGGAGCGAGCGGCGATACTGGGACACGGGGTTGGCAGGGGAGGAGAACGGGGAGGACCAGGGGGGAGGGGCGGAGTGGAAGGGAAAGGCAATGGCGCAGAGAGGGTGGGTGGAAGCTGCGGCAGGAGGGCGAAAAGGGCACAGGGCGACAGAGGAGGCTGGAGGGCGAGGGGAGGGGGAACGAGCACGAGAGAGAGAGAGAGAGAACGAGCGACTTGACGCAGTCGGTGGAACAAAACGCTGCCCTCTGTTGCCCGCCCGCCACGGAGACCGCGAAGGAGATGTGCCCGACCGCGACGAAGAGCGGAACGCTGGAGCCTGGAGGTATAGTCGGACCCACGCCACAAGAGCACCCCCTCAAGAACACGAGACCCTCCGTCGGCCAGAACACGCAGCACATCCAAGGGTGCCCTCCCCCCAGGGCGCACACGAAGAGCCAACAAGCACGAAAAACATCAGGGCACCCTCCCCGAACCGACCTCGATCTTCTACCTCGGTCCGACCCTCCCCGAGGGCGCAAGCCGGTTTTGGGTAATACCTCGGCTCTCTGGTGGCCGTTCGGGGCTGTCCAGGCCCCCCCGGGAACGCTCTCGGCGAGGCGCAGCCGCTGGAACGCATCCCGAGGACGGAAAGCCGCCAGGAGACCACGGAAACGCCCGAAAACCTTGACCCCGAAAACCTCATCGAAGAACAAGCAGGAAAAACATTAGGGCACCCTCCCCGAACCGACCTCGACTTTTCTTTCCCTCGGTCCGACTGTGCCCCCCTCCCGGCAAGGGGCGGTCTAGCTCGGGGCTCCTCCGCGGCGGCGGCGGGGCCGAGGCCCACGGCGGCGCCCGAGGCCGCGTGCCGCGCCTTGGCGATGCCGATGCGCTTCTCCTGGGCGTTGCTGCTGCCGCCGCCGCTCCTCTGGTTGCTGCCGCTGCTGCTGTTGGCGCTCCAGCCCTCTCTTTGTTGCTGCTGCTGCTGCTGCTGAGTACTCACTTCTGAAGAATAGTTATTGCTGATCTCCAGAAGCGGTTCCGCGCGCTCTCGCGCTACACTTTCTCTGAAAGCGAGGCTCCCGCTCGAGCGTTGGCTTGAGCCTAAATGTGGGCCCCTGGAGGCCCAGCTACGACAACAACGGCTCCCGCTCGATACTTCCTCACAATTTACCCCGAGACACCCTGGCCGGAGAGGCCCCCGAACTCAGGAACGGCGCTCTCGCTCGAGATTTCCTCGCAATTCATTTAAGTTGGCGGAGGCCCGGCCACGACGACAAGGGTTCCTGCTCGATGCTTCCTCACGATTTACTGCGAGAGCCCCTGGCCAAGAAGGCCCCTGAACTCAAGAACGGCGCTCTCGCTCGAGACTTTCCCGTAATTAAGGCAAGTTGATGGAGACCTGGACACGGCGACAAGGGCTCCCGTTCGATATTTGTCCATGGGTATTCCGAGAGCCCCTGGCCAGAGAGGCCCCCGAACTCAGGAACGGCGCTCTCGCTCGAGACTTCTTCGCACTTTAGTCAGTGGCCGACAAGGAAGATATTCCCCCCGAAAGGAGGTGCAATCGAAGACGAAGTGGGCGAATATCGAGGGTTGGGGTATACGAAATGCAGGACACGCGTGCCGGTAAGAGTGACCAGTCTCAATCGGATTGTTGTTATTGTTATCGCTGCTGTTGTTGTTGCTGCTATTATTATTGTTGTTATTATGGTTGTTGTTGTGGTTGTGTTTGTGGCTGTGGCTGTTGCTGCTGCTGTTGTGGTTGTTGTGGTTGTGGTTGTGGTTGTCGTTGTTGTTGATGTTGTTGTTGTTGTTGCTTGTGTTTTGTTTGTGTTGTCGTGGTTGTGGTTTTGGTTGTGCGTGTGGTTGTTGCTGCTGTTGTTGCTGCTGTTGTTGTTGCTGTTGCTGCTGTTGCTGCTGCAGTTGCAGTTGTAGCTGCTGCTGCTGCTGCTGCTGTTGTTGTTGTTGTTGTTGTTATTGTTTTTGTTATTGCTATTGTAAGTGTTGTTGCTGTTGTTTCCTTTGTTGTTGTTATTGTTGCTGTGGTCGTGGTTGTGGTTGTGGTTGTTGTTGTTGTTGCTGCTGTTGTTGTTGTTGCTGTTGTTGCTGCTGCTGTTCTTGCTGCTGCTGTTACTGTTGTTGCTGCTGCTACTGTTGTTGTTGTGGTGATTGTTGTGGCTGTGCTATTATTGATATTGTGGCTGTTGTTGCTGTTGTCTTTGTTGCTGTGGTTGTTGTTGTTGCTGCTGTTGTTGTTGTCGTTGTTGTTGTCGTCGTCGTCGCTGCTGTTGTTGTTGTTGTTGTTGTGGTTGTTGGTTGTTGTTGTTGTTGGTGGTGGTGTTGTTGTTGTTACTTGTATTTGTAATAGCTCCATTTCGTTGAATGGCTTTTTCTTTATCCCTCCTTCGTCCCTCCCCCCTTCGTCCTCCCTCCTCCCCTGCTCCTCCTCGTCCTCGCGCGGGTCTTCGCTCGGGCCCTTCCTCGTCCTCGTCCTCTCGCCCCAGTCGCGGTCCGCTCGCTCCTGTTCGTCGTCGTCGCCCCTCTCCGTCTGCTACCTGCCTCCCGCCTCTCCTCCTTGGCCTCGGCTGGCTTCGCGCGGCCGAGACGACGGCCACTCGGGCGGCCGAGATGACGGAGGGCGTGGGGGCCGAGCTCGGCATGGGTGGTGGGGGGTGGGCGGGGAGAATGGGGAGAGGGGTGCACATGCGGCGAGGGGTGGGGCGGGGGGGGTGGGGGGAATGGGGGGAGGGCGAGGGAGATGGGGAGGGGCGAGGCCGACGGGGGGGGGGGGGGGTGGAAGGAAGTGGATCCGAGGGAAGGAGAGCAAGGGAGAGAGCGATAGGGGAGATGAGGGAAGGAGATGGTGGGAAGAGGGCGGAGGGGAGCGGGGCAAGAGAGGGCGCGCGCGGAGAGGAAAGGGGGGAGGGCGGGAGGAGAGGGCGAGGGGCGGGCGGGAGAGAGGAGGAGAGGGCAAACGGAGAGGGGAGAACACGAGGGGAGAGCGGGCGGAGGAGGGGGAGGGGGAGGCACTGCGGGGAGATGGAGCGGGGGAGGGAGGGGAAGGGGATGAGGAGAGGACTGGGCGCACGAGAAAGAACGAGAGGATGAGGAGGCGGGAGGAGGGTAAAGAGCAAGAGGAGGACGAGGGTCTGCAGCGAGCGAAGTCCGAATCCGATCCCATCCAAAGGGGTCCAGACGCCTCGCCTCTTCAGCCGCAGAAGGGCTGAACGTAGGAAGATGAGGATGACCAGAGGACAGGAGGCCGAGGAGGGGCAGGATGAGGAGCAGGAGGCGGGAGACGAGGAGTGGGCGGCGGCGGCCGAGGAGGGGGGAATGGGGATGAGTATGCGTAGGAGAAAGGGAAGGATGAGGAGGGAGGAAGAGGAGGAGGAGGAGGAGGAGGAGGAGGAGGAGGAGGAGGAGGAGGAGGAGGAGGAGGAGGAGAAGGAGGAGGAGGGTGAGGAGGGGGAGGAGGACGAGCAGGAGTAGGAGTAGGAGCAGGAGGTGGATGAACATGAGGAGGAGGATGATGAGGAGGAGGATAAGGAGGACGTTGAGGCGGGATGGGCTGTTGTTGTTGATGATGATGAGGAGAAGGGGGAGGATGAGGAAGACGAAGAGGAACATGAGGAGCGCCACAACAACATCCGACCCCCGCGATGAGCAGCGCGGCGCCTGGACGTCGTAGGCCGTGTAGAACGTCCGCAGGAACGGCATCCCCAGGACCAATATGGGGCCGCGGCCGGTGTCGCCTATGGGCATCAAGTGCGCCCAGCACGAGTCCACACCGGGAGGCGAGGCTGGGTCGTGTGCGCGATCCATGTAGTCTTCGGGCTGCATCTCGAACCTCGGCGGTGAACCCAGGCAGCGGGGCTTCTCGGAAGCCCTCGCGCCTTCCGATGCAGCGTCTGTGGCTTCGGAGAGGACCACGAAGGCGTCTCGCACGGCAAGAGGGCTGCCGAGAAGCCCCGCAGCCCTCTGAGGAGGCCTGCCCCCTCTCCCCCGGGCCCGCCGCCGAGAACCTCTTCCCCGCGATCACGAAGCCCAGCGTCGGGAAGCTGTTGTTGTCAGTGCAGTTCATCTGTGTGTCGTTGCCGAAGGTCAGGAGCCGCAACAACTGGTCCAGGTCCTGCTGCGGGCCCATCATCAAGGAACTGCCCGTGTCCAGCACCGCCTGGCACCTCCGCGCGCCGTACTTCTCGCACATGCCCGTCTCCCTCCCGTCCACCGTGAAGTCGGAGAACTGGAACTGCCAGTAGCCCTCCTCGGAGACGTTGACCCAGGTCAGGTTCGAGGCCGCGCGCTCCATGCGCACGTCGCCGAAGGTGATCTCCGCCTCGTCCTCGACGCGCCTGCCCAGGTACACGGCGAAGAGGGGGCGGCTCATCCTGGGGGACGAGTGCTGGGCCAGCACGCCGAACACGTTGAACTCGGCGGCGTCGCTGATCGACTGGCCGAGGCCCAGGACGCCGTCCCAGTCTGCATCCCTGAAGGGATTGTTCGACTCCTCTCGGCGGCGAGCCCGGTGGGAGGTGAGAAGGGGTCGGCATCCTCACAGGGCGGCGGGGCATCTCAAAGACCGTCGCTCCCTCGGACAAACCGTCTGTGGCTTCGAAGAAAGCCTTGCGCGGCTCCTGAGACGGCCTGCCCCCTCTCACTTCCCTCCGGGGCTCGCCGAAGATCCTCCGTCATCTCGACGAAGTCGGCGTCGGCGCAGAACAGCTTCTCCGCGCCGAGGCAGACGCGGTCGCGCGTGAACTGTCCGATCGCGTCCCCGCTGGCGAAATTGATCACCTTCGTGTCGCGGTCGCTCTCGTCCGTGGCGCGCTCCAGCGGCTCGTCGGCCCAAGCGATCGGCACGGCGGTGCTGCTGTTCTGAGCCCAGAAGCGTGCGTGCCTGCTGCAGGCCTCGCTCTCGCACTTGGCCGAGGGCACCAACAAGTGGCCGCTGCCCGTGTCGAATATCACCGTGAAGATCTGAGGTGGTGTTCCCACGGACACCTCCCCGTAGTACTGCAGCGCGTGGACCATCTGCGACTGCGCGCGCATGCGGCGCAGAACAGCCGCCTCTCGCTGAGATTTCGGGGCTCTCGGTGGCCACACTCTCCAGATCATGTCGGCTTGCTCCCTGGCCTCCCAAATGGGGTCCGAGTAGATCGGGTGGGAGGAGCGCACCGCATCGCCGATGCATCGGGGACGCGTCGCGATCTCCCGATCCCATCTCCTCGGACCCTATTTGGGAGGCCTCTGGCTGAAGGCTGGGAGAGCCCGAACCCTGTGGCCTGCTCCGTACGGCGCCCTAACTGGTGTAACGGCCCCTCCGCGCGGCCGCGACGACGACGACGCCTTTCAGACTTCGAGCGTCGACGCTCCAAGATCAATGCTTCTGGAGTGGAGCGTTTTTCCGCAATTTGTGGCCTCCAGTGGGGCGTCCTCGTCGCCACGGCTGGATCTGCCTCGGGGCTCTGGCGGGAACGCGGTCGGGACCGACCGCGAGGACGACCAGATCGGCGACGAGGAGGACGACGATCCGCCAAAAGTATGTCCCCTAGACGGAGCCGCACACCTTCTCGGCGTGGCCTCCCCCTCCCTCCTCCAGGAACACGCTGGGCTCGACCTAAACAATGCTTTCCATGACCGCTGTGCCTTCGTATTTCCTCGTTCTGTCTTCGCTCCGCCTCTGCTGCAAAACGACATCGGAACGAAAACGGTCCACGAAATCGCCAACATAACGTTTAGGTCGGGCCCTGGGATGAGGTCGGGCGTGCCCCCCCCCCCCCCCCCTACAGGCGGAGTTTGGGCGACAGATTAAACATAGCCAACCAGACGCCCACCCGAACATTAAAAAACTATATGCTGAAAATCGTTCCCTGGAGTATTTTTGGGCCATTTTGGAATGTTCCTCCTGTAGAGGGACGCGGCCGACTTCACCTTGGGAACAGGCCCCCCCCTGCAGTCGGACCTGATTTCGGACGACAAATTAAACATACTCAACCAAACGCTCGCCCAAACATAAACAATATATGCTAAAAATCGCCCCCCGCGTATTTTTGGGCCATTTTGGAATGTTCCTCCTGTAGAGGGACGCGGCCGACGTAACCTTGGGAACAGGCACCCTCTGCAGTCGGACCAAGGACAGAAGAGCATCCTCCAAGAGCACGAGGCCCCCGCCTGCCGAGGCGAGGCACGTGCGAGGGTGCCCCTCCGCAGGGTGCAGAAGAACATGCAGCAAGCACGAGTACGGCGCCCTTGGGCCACACACATGAATCGACACAGATCCCAGGATGCCCCATATTTTCCAAGATTTTCTAGGTTTTGGTCTCCCCCCCCCCCGCTTCCAATATTTTCCAATATTTTCCTGGGTGATCGACGATTCATTGTGTCTGTATGTTTTTCCCACTCCTGAGCGAATAACACTGCAGTCAACCCGTATAATCAGGATGCGCGGTAACGATGCAAGGGCCTTGGAGGGCCACGTTGACGATTTTCGAACGAGGTTGGTCAGCCAAAGTCGCTAAGGATGGGCCGAATGGGGCAAGGATGCAAGTGGAGCCTTGGAAATTGCTCATCCTTACTATGCGGGTTGACTGTAGGGTATCCTTCCCTAGCCGACCTCGACCTTACACCTCGGTCCGACCGTACCGAACATCCACGAGCCTCAGGAATCCACCTCCTTCCCCTCGGCGGCGCTCGCCCAACTGGGGACAGTCAGAGTGGGCGGGGGCCTTCTCAAGAGGCTCATCGGGGACGCACTGACCTGGGTCAATCCAGACCCGGGTCGACCCGGGTCAGTCAGGCCTTGCAGGATCCTGCAGGCAGGATCTTGCGCCCAGGCCGTGGTCAATGCAGCCCTGGTCCTGCAGGATGCTGCAAGATCCGGCGCTCTGGCTGACCCCCGTTTGCACTGACCCCCGTTTTTTTTTTTTTTGTTTGTCTTTTGTTGTTGCTGTTGTTGCTGCTGTTGTTGTTGTTGTTGCTGTTGCTGTTAATTTTGTTGCTGTTGCTGTTGTTGTTGTTGTTGTTGTTGTTGTTGTTGTTGTTGTTGTTGTTGTTGTTGTTGTTGTTGTTGTTGTTGTTGTTTTTGTTTTTGTTGTTGTTGTTGTTGTTGTTGTTGTTGTTGTTGTTGTTGTTGTTGTTGTTGTTGTTGTTGTTGTTGTTGTTGTTGTTGTTTTTGGTTGTTATTATCTTTTTTGTTACAGCGGACTACTTTGGAAGAAGACGGAGGATGATGGGGGCGACCGCGATTGCACCACATGGACTCCCGTGCACTCCTTGGTCTGACTCACCCCCGTTCCTTGCGCCCCGAGCTCAGAAGTGCTCTGGCTGTCCGGGCAGCCTCCCAGAAGCCTCTCCCGAAGCCGCGGAGGGCCTCTCGGAGGGCCAGGGAGGGCTTCTAAGAGGAGGAGGAGGAGGAGGAGGAGGAGGAGGAGGAGGAGGAGGAGGAGGAGGAGGAGGAGGAGGAGGAGGAGGAGGCCCCGCCGCCTGCTTTCAGAGGGCCTGGCCCCCCGGGCGCGCCCCCCCCGGACCTGCCCCGAGGCTCCGTTGTGCCGCCCGCGGCCGCCGGGGAGGCCCGTCTGGCCGCAGCGTGGCCTGCCGGCCCTCGCCCCCGCGGACAAACAACAACTTTTTTTCGATCCGCGGGCCGGCAGAGCTCCGAATCATCAGGGGTGAGTCGGGTCAGGGCTAACTTTGGTTCGTTTTTCGGGAATCCGAACCCGAGTTGCCCCGGGCCCGAGCTACCCCGGATAGTTCGGGCGCCCAGGGTCGAGAGCGAGCCCCTTCCGGTGGAAGCTACGCGGGCCGCGCGCAGCTTTCATTGACAGAGGGGGGGAAGGCAGACCCCCTCGGAGCGACGAGGGATCGCGACGAGGGATCGCCATCGGCCAGCGGGGCATCGCGACGAGGGATCGCGACGAGCGGGGCAACGGAGCGACGAGGGATCGCCAGCGGCCAGCGGCCTCCCTCGGAGCGTGCTCGGCTTGCTCGGTTTGCCCCCGGGGGCGGGTGGCCCACTCGTGCCGCGCCCCCCTCCGAGGGGGCAGCGTCTGCGCCCCGGGTGCGCTGCGGATGGCCCCCGGCCCCCGCAGGGCCCGAGCTCGAGGAGAAGAGCCCGACGAGGAGGAGGAGTAGGAGGAGGAGGAGGAGTAGGAGTAGGAGGAGGAGGAGGAGGAGGAGGAGGAGGAGGAGGAGGAGGAGGAGGAGGAGGAGGAGGAGGCGGAGGAGCGGACGGAAAAGCCCATGTCGTCGGAGGTCGGGGTCCTCCTCGGGGCTGGACCTGAAGCTTGTTTCTCGTTCTGCGCTCTCGTTTTGTTTTGCGTTGTGCTCTGCCTGCTTTCCCGTACCTCCCTGCCGAAGAGAACAATATACAACACAGCCGGAGTCCAGCAAAACAGCGTTTGGGTCCAGCCCTGGTCTTCCTCCAGGACAGATTCACACCGAACATCCACGAGAGATGTGCTCAAAGAACTGGCCTCCCCCCGCAGAGCCCTCCCCCGGGCACCGTCCCGACAAAAGCAGCTCCGAAGACACAAGCTTTCGGAAGTGAGGGGTGACGATAGTGGGGGGGGAGGCGAAAGGCTTCGAGGTTCGAGGCTATAGGGGATTTTCGTGGGTTCTCGTCGGCTTTTCAGTCCCAGGGTGCCTTCCAGCGGCTGCGCTTTGTCCAGAGCGTTCTGGGGGTGCCCAAATCGTCTCGAACGGGCGCCAGAGACCCGAGCTATGATCCGCTGGAAACTAGACGACGATGATCACTTCTGGGGGCTGGTTCAGGGGGGGAGCCATCGACCTGGAATCGTCGATGCATCGCCAGTAAGTCGGCGATAAGCCCCCGATAGCGAAACCTCACGCTCCTGGGCGGGGATGGGCTAGCGGGCCCGTATCGGCCATTGGGCGATTGGGGGTCGATGCGTTCCCCCCTGAGCCTATCCCCCCTAACGTTGCCCCTGAGGAAATCCGCATGCGCGCGCGACGACGCGGGCGTGTGCACTTCGTCCCGTTTTTCGCAGTGGATTCTTGACAACTGCTGATTTTTGATAAATAAGTGCGCGCGCATAGCATTTTTTTGCAGAGGATGACGGGGGGGATCGATACGGGCCTGGCTGGGATGGTATGAATTCATATTCAGGATGGACGATTGGACAGACTCCGACCAGTCAACCCCTGGGGGGGATAGATCCTAACTCTTTTTTGCAAAGGAGAATTTGCATCGCGCAGGCTATGTGGTGTAAGCAACGCGGCGCAAGCTATGTGGTGAAACTCTGTGGTGACGCGACATCGCGGCGGCAATGGGCGGCAACACGGCGAATCCTCGGCGGACACCCCTCGCGGTAACGACTCGGCCACGGGCGACAGCGTGGCGAATCCTCGCCAGACCCGCCCAGCGGCAACGAGGCGGCCACGGTGCAGCCACGGGCGGTAACGTGGCGAAGCCTCGCCAGACCAGCCCAGCGCACGAGGCGACCACGAGGGGCAGCGTGGCGAAACCTCGCCAGACCCACCCACCGCACGTGGTGGCCACGAGGCGGCCACGGGCGGCAACGTGGCGAAACGTCGCCGGACCTACCATTCTGCACCCACCCAGCGCACGCGGGGCGGCAACGTGGCGGCAGCGAGCGGCAACGTGGCGAATTCTGGCCATAACCCACCCAGCGCAGGAGGCGGCAACGAGGCGGCAACGTGGCGAATCCTCGCTGGACCAGGCGGCAACAAGGTGGCAACGTGGCGAAACCTCGCCGGACGCACCAAGCGCGGTGGGCGGCAACAAGGCGGCGACGGGCAGCAACGTGGCGGAATCTTGCCGGACCCACCCAGCGCACGAGGCGGCTACAAGGTGGTAGCTGGCGGCAGCGTCGAGACACCTCGCCAGACCCACCCAGCGCACGAGGCGGCAACGAGGTGGCAGCGAGGCAGCATCGTGGCGAAACCTTGCTGCACCCTCCCAGCGCACGCCGGGCGGCAACGAGGTGGCCACGGGCGGCAGCGTGGCGAAACCTTGGCGGACCCACCCAGCGCGCGAGGCGGCCACGAGGCGGCCACGGGTGGCAGCGGGGCGGCAGCGGGCGGCGAGGCGGCTACGGGCGGCAACGTGGCGACACCTCGCCGGACCCACCCAGCGGCAACGAGGCGGCAACGAGGCGGCCACAAGGCGGCAACGTGGCGAATGCTCGCTGGACCCACCCGCCGCACTGGGTGGCAACGAGGCGGCCACGGGGCGAAACCTCGCCGGACCAGGCAGCAACAGGGCCGCAGCGAGGCGGCGACGAGGCGGCAACGTGGCAAAACCTAGCCATGACCCACCCAGCGCAATGGGTGGCAACGAGGCGGCAACGTGGCGAAGCCTGGCCGGACCCACCCAGCGCACGAGGCGGTAAGGAGGCGGCAACGGGCGGCAACGTGGCGAAACCTCGCTAGACCCACCCAGAGCACGAGGCGGCAACAAAGCGGCATCGTGAAACATCCCCGCCGGACCCGACAAGTTCCTTTGGGAGAGGAGGAAAAACCCTGAGGTGCAATCACTGCTAGGGTGAATCTGGCAAAATCCTGGGCTGCAGCAAAGTGGTTTCTGGCGGCCACAAATCCAAACTAGCTTTTGCCGAGCACGTCCAGGGTCTGGGCGCAGGAAGCTCCCGTTGCGGCAGAACTCCTGGCAAGCTGCTCGACGGCTGTGCGTGTCGAGCGTGTAAAAGATTTGACTGCGTTCTTCCCTCTCTTCCTCTCGTCGTCGTCCTCGTCGTCGTCGTCGTTCTCGTCGACGGTGTCCTTCTTCTCCTCCTCCTCCTTCTACTCCTCCTCCTCCTCCTCCTCCTCCTCCTCCTCTCGAACGTCCTTTTCTTCCTGCACGCCCCCGGCAACAACTTTCTTGTGGAGCTCTTTCGCGGAACGTTCCGATCAGGTCCGATCCGATCTTCCTCCTCCTCCACCTCCTCTTGAGCGTCCTCCTCCTCCATCCCTTGTCCTTACAAGTATCTGTTCCCTGTCGCACCCCGAGGCCGGTCGAAAGGGCGGGCCGGGCGTTTCGCTTGAGACTTCCTCACCATGTATGACCCTGTTGCTGAAAAGCTGGCAACAGTTTTACAGATGGAGGGCGGGCCGGTTTCAAAATGCGGCTCGCGCCGCGCACATTCGCTTAGAACACTTGGAACAGTTTCACGGATTTAGGGCGGGTCGTTTTCAAAATGTGGCTGTCGCCTTCGCGCCGCGTTCAGAACAGAGCAGAACAGCTGCCAACGCCAGCAAGGGCGGCCCGACGGCGGTCGACAGGCGTGCTTAGCATGCTGGCCCTTCGAAAACAAAGGGCCCGGTGAGACTGCTGTGATTGACAGCGTGTGAGAACCAAGCGACGTGAACTGCGGCAGCTCTTATTCCAGGGACCCCCGGGCGCTTGGGAACAATGCCTGAAACCCACAAGAGGCCACTGCGAGGGACCACTGGAAACAAGTCAGAGCGCGACGCAGCGCAGAAGGGGACCTTCTCGTTTTTTTTTTCGCGCCGCGCAAGAGGTTCATGGATTGAGGAGGCTCTAGCCTTCGCGCCGTGCAAGAGTTTCACTGATTCGTCTGGTTCGCGTATGAGACAGGGTGTTGTGGAACGACACAGGATTGTCAGGGCACAACAGTTACGCTGATTCGCGGTGTTGAAGTCCGAGGGGTGGTGTTCTGGCACGATTCGGGGTCGCCAAGACGTAACAGTCAGGTTAATCTGTGGCATTGAGGTCCTGAGAATGGTGTTGTGGTACGCTTCAACAGATTCACAAGGTTGTCCCCCAACGGGGCAATTCCATCAGTGGCAATGGCCCCTATAGGGGCCTATGAGGAGGGACCCTGGAGGGAGGGTGTATTTCAACGTCGTTGATGGGTCTTGGGTTGGCACTGGTCCTCCTCCTCCTCCTCCTCCTCCTTCTCCTCCTTCTCCTCCTCCTCCTCCTCCTTCTTCTCCTCCTCATTTCGACCGTCTTCCTCCTTCTCCTTCTCCTTCTCCTTCTCCTCCTCCTCCTCCTCCTCCTCCTCCTCCTCCTCCTCCTCCTCCTCCTCCTCCCCTTGAGGTTGCCCAGGCCCAGGCCTTGTCCGTGAGCGTGCGCGACGAAGCAGAGGCCCGCTGGCGGCGCACGTCCTCGGGGCGGGCCGAGGGGTCGGTCCACTTGTGGCCCTCTGCCGCGCTCCCCTGGGGGGTTCCCTGGGCAGTCGCCTGCGCCCCTCGTCGGGGGAGAGGCGAAGGACGAACGAACGTCCTTCTTCTCCCCCCCGACGAGGGCGAGGAGGGGGGAGGAGAAGGACGCTCGTTCGTCTTTCGCCTCCCCCCCGACGAGGGCGAGGGCGAGGAGGGGCAGAGCGTCGGCCGGGGGAGGGGGGAGGAGGGCGAGAAGGATGAAGGTAATGGTACGCTGCTGATGGTGATGGTGACGATGGTGATGATGGTGAAGGTGGTGATGATGGTGATGATGACGATGATGATGATGATGATGATGATGATGATGATGATGATGATGATGGTGACGGTGATGATGATGATGTTGATGTCAATGATGATGGTGGTGGTGATGATGGTGGTGATGATGGTATGATGGTGATGATGATGATGATGGTGATGATGATGATGATGATGATGATGATGATGATGATGATGATGATGACGGTGATGATGATGATGTGGATGTCAATGATGATGATGGTGGTGATGATGGTGATGGTGATGGTGATGGAGGTGGTGGTGATGGTGTTGATGGTGGGGAAGAGGACGAACGAGCGGGGAAAGGGGGGCAACGTCGGAATGAGGTCGAGCCGAGCCGGCCGCCGCACTTTGCCGGGCGCGGGCGTAGGCTGGGGCGGAGCGTCGGCCGGGGGAGGGGGGAGGATGAGGGTAAGAAGGATGGTGGTGATGGTGATTGTGATGGTGATGGCGATGGCGATGATGATGATGACGACGATGACGATGATGCTGATGATGATGCTGCTGATGATGAAGATGATGCTGACGATGCTGATGCTGATGCTGATGCTGATGGTGATGGTGACGATGGTGATGACGATGATGCTGATGAGGATGAGGATGAGGATGAGGATGATGAGGATGATGAGGATGATGAGGATGATGAGGATGATGAGGATGAGGATGATGATGATGATGATGATGATGATGATGATGATGATGATGATGAGATGAGGAGGAGGAGGAAGGGAGGAGGAGGAGGAGGAGAGAAGGAGGAGGAGGAGGAGGAGGTAGAGGAGGAGGAGGAGGAGGAGGAGGAGGAGGAGGAGGAGGAGAAGGAGGAAGAGGAGGAGGATGGTGATGGCGATGATGAGGAGGGAGACGAGGAGAAATGTGTTTTTTGGCAGGAACCGACTTCTGACCCCTCGAGCGGCGGACCTCTTGTGGAGCACCGACCGGCCTGCCCTTCCCGCGAACGGCAGTCGGGACTCTCCGAGAGGGCCTGGGAATCCTGGACCTGGTGCTCCTCCAACCTTGCCCGAGCTCGACCGGGCCGAAGCGGGGCGCCTGGCTCCGCCGGGCCACACCCGTCCCTGCTGGGCCAGGGCCGCGCGGGAGGCTCCCACGGCGGCCCCTTCTCTCCCATCAGATACTCCGAGGTTCGTGGTGCTTCGAAGGGGAGGGGGGTCTGGTTTGAGTTGCCTTTTTGGGGGGAGGAGGAGGAGGACGAGGAGGAGGAGGAGGGAGCTGCCGTGCTCAATGGCGCGGCAAGAGCTCATTCCTCCTCCTCCTCCCCCCCAGCTTCGAAGGGGAGGGGGGTCTGAGGTTTTTGGGGGTCTGGTTTGAGTTGCCTAGAAGGGGCCTTGGGGGGTCTGGGCCGAAGGCCGCCCTTTCATGGCTGGCCTAGGGGGGGGGGCCGGGCCTAGGGCTGCTCGTCTGGGCGGGTTGCTACCCGCACCCCCTTATTATGAAGGGGCCCCAAGACACACAAATGAATACACACAAATAAACATATTCCGCATATTTTTCCATATTTGTTGGTTTTCGTCTTCCCCCCCACTTCCCATATTTTCCTGTATTTTCTTGGGATCGACGATTAATTGTGTCTGTGTGTTTTTTCCCCTCCTGATATTATGGAGCTCGGAATACTTGGGTCGATGCTGGTCCCCATGGCATCTGCAGACCTGGCGCCGACACACTCTCACGCCGAGCAGCTCTTTCGGCCACTGCCCGGAGGCCGAGGGCACGTCCAACGGGAGGGGGCAACTTGAACACGTTTCTCGCGCCTTCGCTGCTGGGGGTGACGGCCAGACATTGAATACAGTCGGGGCGTTGACCTAAGGAACCCTAAATGAGGAACGAGGCCCCTTTTTCCCATAAGTTAACCTTCAATTTCGTATCGAAACCATAAGGAAAATCTAAGGCAAGCTGCGAAACAATTCAGGAACACGGAGCCCCTCCCCAACGAAAAGGGTTCCTTCTTCAGGGCCCCGTCTGTAGTTGAAGGCCGTTCTTCGTGCCCCAAGCTCCTCGCAGCCCACGCAGGGTTCCCCCGGGCTTCTTGACTCGGGCACCTGTGCTACAAAAGTGGCACTTCCAACAGATGCTCACAGAGGAGTCGTCAGAGCAATGGGCAACTGCGCGCGTATGGCCGCGCTGCAGAGGCATCTGAAGGTTGAGGCGGGGTGGGGTCGAATAAGTGCCCGCGGAAGGTCGGTGAAACGCGCGCCGCCCACGCAAGTGCGCCTGTCGCCGGCGGAACTCACCTTGCCAAGCCCAGTCATGGGCCAAGGTGTTTTTGCGCTCCTGCTTCTGCGGGCGAGCAACATCTACTTCAGATAAGTCCAGCCGCGGCCACTTCGGAAGGAACTTAGTGGCCAGCTCAAGAACTGCTCGAGAAATCTTGACAGAACGGTCGATCTGCAACACACCTCCTGGTTTAGCAGTGTGGTTCGCTTGGTCCCCCAGCCTGGCCCGCGTCGTCCGCAGACACACTCCCCAGTCAGTGGAGTCTCCTGGAGGGGCGAATCCTCGTCACCCCCGCCTGGGTGGTCAGCCATTTTCGTGCCCTGGATCCCAGGCGCATCCCCAGAACAGGTCGCCCAGCACAGAGCCCCGTGGGACCGATGTCCCGAGGCACGCTCCGGGCACAGGAGGCGCCCACGGCCGCCGCGCAGCGCCCGAGGAGAAGAGTGGCCCGCCCGCCGAGGCCCGCCGCCGCCGCGGCCCGAGGTGCGCGAGAGAGTGTCCCCGCGGTAGGAAGTCCGAGGCAGATGGCCCCACGCAGGCCCGGTGCAGCCTCGCAAGCTGCTGGTCTTGCGCCGAGGCCATCGCGACAAAAACCCAGCCAGTACTGGACAGTTCTTCTGATCGCACAACGATCCCGGCTGCCGTTCGAGAACGTGTGGCCCTGGAACTTACGAGGGCCAGCCCCATGGGAGTCCACGCCAGATTCCTCGTGACCTGGGAATGCTCAACCGAACCTCCGTCCACTCCACCTTGAGACACGGGAGCAGGGACCTTGTCGCCAGGATCACAGGCCGCTCCACTGAGGAAACGGATGAGGTCCTGGTGGGGGTCCGAGGAGGCCTCCTGGGCTTATTGGAGGACATCCGCGTCCACAAGGTCCACAATGCCTCGCGCTGACACAGTACGTGAAACAGATAATCAATCCGACCCGCCGAGCCCGCGAGTTGGTTCAAATCGCGTTGCACACCAGCGCCTTCGGGCATCCCTTCTCGAAGGGCATGTTTCTGTTGGACCGAAGGGCCCAGGAGGGAGTACGCTGCTCCATGATGGTTCGAACGCCATACCATGTGCGACCGGTCGCAGCAAGACAGCTGTCGCTGATATAAATATTGGCGCAACTTGATGGACCCCGAACAAAAACCCTCAGCCCAGACTTCTTCTCGAACACCCCCACGCCGGGATGCCAGCAAATGCGACGCAGCTGCGGCGCCGCCACAATAACCGCGTTGAACTTCGAACCGTCATGGGGAACTATAACGAAACCTGATGGGCCTTGAGCGCCCGAGGAGTCTTGTCGCGGCCTGAAGGGTCCCGACGTGACCCTTCCACTCCTTGTCGTGCAGACTTCCCGCCCCTGGCGCGGTGGTCGCGGAGCGATGCGCCCGCATGTGCGACGCGTCCGCAAAAAACAGCCGCGCGCGCGTGTCCAGCCGCGCAGCGAGGCGCCATCCTGCTCGCGGGCCTAGACCACTTCGTTGAGCTACCTTTCCCATCTCGCCGCCGCTGCGGCCCGCGAGCCTTCCCCCCGCTCGAGCGCGGCCACCTCGCGCAGGGAAGCTACTACCTGGCGCCGCACGCCGACCCCCCCCGCGCGGAAGCCGCGCTCCGAGACCGCTGCCGACGCGCTGCGTGAGTCCCCCCTGCGCGCGCGGGCGCTGCCCGGTCGCGGGAAGAACCTGCTCGGCGCCGCGCGCCGCCGACCCGCGCGCGAAAGTTGCGTGCCGAGACCGCTGCCGATGCGACGCGCGACTCCTCCGCCTGGCGCCGCCCGCCGACCCCAGCGCGAGAAATCGTGTTCCGGCACTTCCGCCGATGCGGCGCGCGAGTCTTCCTCTGCGCGCGTGAGCGCGACCCAGCCGCGCGAGGAAGTTGCGAGGGGCCGAGTGCCGACTGCAGTGCGGAAGTCGCGTGCCAAGCCGCCGTTGTGCGACGCGCGAGTGCTCCCCCGCGCGCTCGAGGAGTCTGCCTGGCGCCGCGCGCCGATCCCAGCGCCGGACATCGCGCTCCGAGATTTTCGCCGACGCGACGCAGCTCCACCACCGCGCGTGGCGCGACGCGCGCGAGGCACATATCGGGCCGGGCGAAAAGGGGGGGATAGCAAAGGGGGGTTTCGAGAATCAGCTCACGCAGCTGATTTTCCCGGCGCCTCCTGGCGCCAGAAGCGGCCATTCATCGAGGAATGGGCCTTTCGGTGGGGCCGAAACCAGCTCCATGCAGGAAATTTCGTACCCCCCCCCCTTCCCGTATCTTCCCCCTTTCGTCCGGCCCGAACAGAACCGGCCGCGCGCCGTCTGCGGAGTGTTCGCCTTGCTGAACGAAGAGCCTCGAGCGTCGCAAGAGGCCCTCGCGCGCCCTGGGCGCACGCGCGAGCCGCGCCGTGGGGCTCCGCGGCCCTGCGCGGAGCGGGGCGCCCGCGCGAGAAAACCGCGCGCTGAGGCAACCGCCGGCGCGACGCGCGCGAGCTCTGCACGCCGCGCCCGCGAGCGCCGCGCTCGTCGCGCGAGGGACTCTGCCAGAGGTGCCGCTCGCCGACCCCCAGGACGAAGGGACAGGAGGAGGAGGAGGGGGAGGAGGAGGAGGAGGAGGAGGAGGAGGAGGAGGAGGAGGAGGAGGAGGGAGGGAGGAGGAGGGAGGAGGAGGAGGAGGAGGAGAGGAGGAGGAGGAGGAGGAGGAGGAGGAGGAGGATGAAAGGACCAAGACCAAGACCAAGAAACGCAGGGTACCAATCATAGTCAGAGAGACGGGGGCACAAAATTGGGGTTACCTTAAAGGCCGAAAATTGTACCTACGTGAGGCAGAGCTCCCAAGCAAATCCAAAGACACTCTGGGGGGCCCCGGATGAGAGGAGGAGGAGGAGGAGGAGGAGGAGGAGGAGGAGGGAGGAGGAGGAGGAGGAGGAAGGATGAGGGAAGGAGGAAAAGGGGAAACCGAAACCTAACTCGTGTCAATGGGCTACCCCCCACTAGAGCTGCCGAACGACAGCGCGTCAGCTGAACGCGGGTCAAGTCAAAAGCAGAAAATGAAGGGGCCCTGGGACACACAAGTACATGCACACACAAATAGCAGGATTCCCGACATTTTTCCACACTTTCTGGGCTTTTGCCTCCCCCCCACACTTCCCATATTTCCCCATCTTTTCCTGGGAGTCGACGATACATTGCGTCTGTGTGTGCTTGTTCCCCTCCTGCGTTACGTTGCTCCCATCGTACTTCAGGACCACATCTCAGAAATAATTTCGAGCTCCCAGGCAAGTGCCGAAAGAGTGTCGAGAGAGAGCGTCGAACAACGGTGTCTCCCAGGGCCCGTCGCGTGAAAAAACCCTAGAGTTTTGGGGTGCGCTCGAAACTATTTCTGGTGCTCGAGGCTAACAGTAGGCTGGAACATCATCACTCCTGCGTGGGTTTTTCTGGGTTCTCCGGGGTTTTTGCCCCCATTTCCCTACCTTTTTCCCGGGAGTCGACGATGACTTGCGCGTCTGTGTGTGTTTTTTCCCCTCCTGCGTCTGTGTGTGCTTCTCCTGCGTCTCTGTGTGCTCTTTCCCCTCCTGCGTGCAGCTTGCCGCCCCTCGGCGCGCCACCGCGCCCGGCGCGGCGAGGCGCGCCTGGCGCCCGCCCGACCGCCGAGGCGACGCGCGGCACGCCTCCCTTTTTTCGGCACGCGGCGCCGGGACGAGGCAGCCCCACGGAGAGTTAGGATGTTCCAACCTCCTCCTGTCTCCTCCTCCTCCTCCTCCTCCTCCTCCTCCTCCTCCTCCTCCTCCTCCTCCTCCTCCTCCTCCTCCTCCTCCTCCTCTCCTCCTCCTCCTCCTCCTCCTCCTCCTCCTCCTCCTCCTCTCCTCCTCCTCCTCCATCCTCCTCCTCCTCCTCCTCCTCCTCCTCCTCCTCCTCCTCCTCCTCCTCCTCCTCCTCCTCCTCCTCCTCCCCTCCTCCTCCTCCTCCTCCTCCTCCCCCTCCTCCTCCTCCTCCCTCCTCCTCCTCCTCCTCCTCCTCCTCCTCCTCCTCCTCCATCCTTCCTCCCCCTCCTCCTCCTCCTCCTCCCCCCCTCCTCCCTCCCCCCCTCCTCCTCCTCCTCCTCCTCCTCCTCCTCCTCCTCCGCCTCCTCCTCCTCAGCCTACTTTAGCCTTGAGCACCAGAAATAATTTCGCGATCTCCAGGGGGGGGGCTATTTTTCGCCACCCCTCACGAGGATCGTGGCCTCCGAGGGGGTGGCTGCAATCGACTACCCCCCCTCCCGCCCCACGGTGCCCCCAAGAGCCCCCCACAAGGCCCCAGGGGAGCCCGAGACGCCGCCAAGGAGCCCCACGACGCTCCCAAGAAGCCCCCAAGGTGCCCCCAAGAGGCTCCAAATAGCGCTCCAGGGCCGGCGGAATGAGCGAAGCGATTAAATAATTTCGAGCGCACCCCCAAACTCCAGGGTTTTCACGCGTCGGGCCCTGGGAGACACTCTTTCGACGCTCTTTCGCCACTCTTTTTGGGAGCTCGAAGTTATTTCTGGGATGCGGTCCTTGACTACGATGGGAGCAGCGTAAACGGAGAGGCTTCTGCGGATGTGCGGCGCGTGGCCTGTTCTCTGTCTTACTGCACGGGGCGGCGCTGGGGCAGAGCTGGGTCGGGCACGTCCCTCTGCAGAAGGAACTCTGCAAAAGAGGCAGCACACTAACGTGGGGACGTTTTTTTAGTTGTGCGCGCGTGTGTTTGATCATGTTTGATAATTCTGTTGATTTTTTTTTGGGGGGGGGGGGTTGTATTTATAATTTCTTCTTCCAACATCTGCATGCTGGGGGACATGCCCGACCTAAGGGTAGAGGCGATAGAGGCGAGGAGGGAGCTCAATCTCTGGCCGGGCGCAACCGAAACGGGTATGGGGGGGCTGGGACGCGAGCGCCGCGTGCTCGCACACACGGGCAGCCCCCCCCCCCACCCCCACGGTCCTGTTGAGGGGTGGTGGTGGTGCGTGCGTGCGTTCGTTGCCAGCTCTCTCTCCCTCTCTCTCCCTCTCCCTCCCGCCCTCTCCCTCCCTCCCTCTCTGTCTCTCCCTCCCGTTCTCTCTCTCTCTCTCTCTCTCTCTCCCTCCCTCCCCCTCTCGCCCTCTCTCCCTCTTTCGCTCCCTTCCTCTCTCTCTCCCTCTCTCTCTCTCTCTCTCCCTCCCTCTCTCTCTCTCTCCCTGCCTGTGTGTGTGTGTCCCTCTCTCTCTATTTCTTTCTCTCTGTCCTTCTCTGGGCTCACACTCACAAGGGGGGCATCACCTGGACATCTACACCGGTCCCAGCCAGGCCCCGTCCTGGGCCCCCAGGACCAGTGCACGTGGCCTCCTGGCCAGAAAGGCACGTGCACCCATCCCAGGCCCCGGAGGATAGGGAAAAGAAAGACGCCACGATTCGGGTAAGCGCTAAGATGGATCAGGGATCCACGGCTCGGGGAAGTGCCACCCCCCGAAATATGGCGCCAGTGCCACCTGATCTGGCGACGAAAGTGCGCCGACTCTGTATGGAAATGGGGCCCGCCGCGAGTCCACGCGCCTCGCAGTCAGCCCGAATCACAAGGATGCGCGATAAGCAAGGGCCCTGGACGCCCATCGCGAAGCTTCTCGAGCGGGGCGCGGCCAACGAAATTGGCCAAGGATGGGCCGAGGAGGCAAGGATGCAAGGGTACCCTTGGGAAGGCTGCCATTCCTTACCATGCGGGTCGCCTGTACAGTCGGGGCGCATACGAGAGGTCTCGCGTCAGGACACGAGACTCCTGCCATCGCTCGGACGTCCATTCCGTCCATTCCCTGTGTTTTTGTTCGGTTTCGTGCGTGGTTTTTTCGCCAAATGATCAAGGATGCTCCTCGATGGTCCTCGCAGAGAAAAAATCCGTCCGCACGCGCAGAGGACACGAGAAGGGATGGGCAGGACACAAGAGTACCCTGATTGTTGCAGGGTCGACCCTTACAGTCGGGACGTTGACCTAAAGAACCCTAAATAAGGAACGAGGCCCCTTTTTCCCATAAGTTCAACCTCGATTTCCCATGGAAAACAAGAGGAAAACCTAAGGCAAGCTGTGAAACAATCAAGGAACACGGAGCCCCTCCCCAACGAAAAGGGTTCCTTCTTCAGCGCCCCGACTGTATTTTGCAGGGTCGACATTAGACGAGCGCGTTCTACTGTCCGCAGAGCAACCACTCGCAGATGGCCTGGATCCCCCGCGGGGGATCTACGATGACTTACCTCCAAGAAGACATGTGTATTCTTTGTTCGGACTTTGCGCGTAGGCACTTTCTTTGCGAGTCGTGGTCGACGACGAGCGAGAGTGACCCTGGATAAGAGTGGCCTTTGGTGCGCGGCTTTGGATAAGAGCGACCTTTGGATAAGAGTGACCTTTGGATAAGAGGGATCCTGGATAAGAGGGACCCCAGTGGGCCCGCACCAAAGGTCACTCCGGCGAAGGGTCACTCTTACGTTAAGTCGGGCCTGTCCCCCTACAGGGGGATTTTCGACGGAAAATGAAAAATACCACCAAAATACTCCAAACAGGTCAACAAATACTAAAATGATAGTCACCAGACTATGTTTGATTTTTTTTTTTTGTTGGGGGGGGGTATTTTCTAAATTTGTCGCCGAACATCTCCCTGTAGGGGGACAGGCCCGACTTAAAACTATGCACATGCACCGATCCTGGCAAGGCCCATCCTTGACCCAGGATCGGTGCATATGCCGTCCTGGCCAAGGCAGGAGGGCGTGTGCACAGATCCTGGGCTCAGGATGGGCCTGGCCAGAATCGGTGTATGCGCATAGTTCCTTTTCCTCTAAGAGCGCCCCCCAGGCGCCTCTGCCGATATGTGCAGTCGGGCCTGGGCAGGTCAGACGATGACGATGACGATGATCGTCATCGTCATCGTCATCGTCATCGTCATCGTCGTCGTCGTCGTCGTCGTCGTCGTCGGCATCCCCCAAGAACATGAGGCCCTCCGCCGGCCCAGACACGCAGAACGTCCAAGGGCACTTTCCGCACCACGCACAAGAGCAAGCCCGAAAGAGCACGAGGCTTGTTTGGCAGGTGGATCTCTCAAGCTCTCCGCCGCCTCTGGCTTTGCTGTGTTCCTGCTCGCAACGCGCATGGCCGGAGGCGGCGGAGAGCTCGAGAGATCCACCAACTCCAACAAAAAGTCAGTCGGGCCTGGGCAGGTCAGAGGAGCATCCCCCAAGAGCATGAGGCCCTCCGCCGGCCCAAACACACAGAACATCCAAAGGTACTCTCCGCAGGACGCTCAAGAACATCCAACAAGCACGAAGAACATTAGGGTATCCTCCCCGAACCAGCCTCCTCGATCTTATACCCCAGTCCGACTGTATGTCTTTGCTCTGCTCCTCGGAATGGCCGGGCCAAGACCGATGCCGAGTTTACAGCTGGCGCTTCCCCGCTTCAGGCCGCCGTCCAGGAAGCTGCTGGCAGACCTACGGCCGCTGGCTGCACTCCTG